ATGAGATTTTCCGATAAGCGAGGAAGGCTGGACAAGGAACTTGTGCCAAAAACTAAATATGTTACTCAAAAAAGAAGGAAAATACTAAGATGGCCAAAAATTTCAAATTTGATCATTCTCAAAAAACTGAAAGGCTTCCCTCCCAGACGCCGATGAACAAAAACATGGTGGAGCATATTCTTTCCATATTGTGGGATGGTGGAGTCGCTCTGAGAACTTCTCCAACTCTCTGGCGTATATCCCAAATCAAAAGAGTAACAATCACTCAGTGGCTGGTCCCTATGCGCCCTAAACCCTTACCCTCCCCATTCAGTCATGAAAGCAGCCTTGAAGAAACCGGTAGAATAGCTTTGAACAAAGTTCTTCTTCAGGTCGTTTCAAACTTTTCCTCTGTGTGAACCCCTCTTGCACGTGATCGCTCCATTGCCTCCATGGCCGGCTCATGTTTCTTTGTCCCGAACACAACCGCTACATGACCTTGTGACTCCCGCCAAAGACAGGAACTTTGAGTTTGACCGAGGTGGAACATCTGCCAAGAGGCTATGACAAAGGTGTCCTGGAGACAGTGGGCCGGCACCGGAATTCCCCTTAGTTTTAGGTTGTCTATGGGTAAAATCGAGACAATATTTAAAATTTCGACAAATCAAATAAAAACTGACCAGATTATTTGGGCTGGGTCCAACTCAACGAGGGGCATCTGAAGACAAATAAACTGGTTCCGTGCCTTTCTAATTGGATTGACGGATAAACGATCAAGTGTTTGGCATTGACAAATGCCGTTCTGAAAAGCATTCATCTAGTTGTTTTCCATTCGGAACTGTGACCTTCGATTGCGGATGTGGGCCATAGCATCCGAGCTTCAGCCTATGTACGAGCTAGTGCTTTGACTCTTCTTGTTAGGTCTAATACCACTTGGCCACTAGTCGGGAGGAATGAATGGAGATTTTAGTTGGCCTGGGCAGGGTTTGGGATCATGCGTGTGGCAGCGGCACTATGCGAAAGTAAGAACCAGCCTCCAACCCTTCTCTACCGGAAATCTTGTTGGTTTCAGTGTTGGTCAGTCCCATTTTGGGACCCGCCATGCACCCGACTTCACTGGAAAGTTTCAAGGTCTTTGAGTATATGCACAATAAATTGAGGAAGCCAGGCTATGTACTATTTTAGCTTCTCTCACGTGCTTGTTCTCAGTGATCTCATATCTCGCGAAGTGTAAGGCATGATGGGTTGGCTGAGGTTTGATCCCTGGTGACGTGTGTGACAGCGATGACACTTCTCAGTGACTCATATCCACCTGTTAGATAAATAACTAAACACATAGGAAAACAGGTTGGAAATCAGATGCCTCTTGAAAACTTCATAAGAAACCCTCTCCTAATGTGAATGCCGAAGTTTCCCTTCCAAATGATGCCAAGGACAACAATTTGGCGGCAGGCTGATGATCACATGTCCAGTCACCTGCAATCAACTGAAGGAATTCGATGATTCGGAACTTGGGAGGTCTCTAATTAACATCGTTTCTGGGAAATTTGGATGTTTCCGTTCCTGCACACCACAAAAACCCCCAGTCATTCCCAGATGGTCCTTTTTCTTTTCGCTCAAAAGTGATAGTGATTTCATTCCTTCCCCACTCTCTGTGAGGCTTCTCTGTCACACCTCGACCCCTGCATTCATAGTAAACTTGACAGATGCTCCGGCGATCATATAAATCGTCACTCTCATTGTTTACCATCTTGTCACCATTTTATAGTAGTTGTAAGGTAGAGGGTTTAAACATTGCGCTGTAGTGCGCGTACTCGCGCCTATCCCGTTATTACAATGACGCCGGCGGTGGCAGTCTCGTCTTCGGCTGCTGCCACTTGCCCCCCTCCCCTCAACAGCATATGTCTTTATCCTGGCTGAATCTCGACTTTTTCCTCGCAACTGGAGGTTGCTTAGGGTGTCACGAGTGCAGGATCTCTTCATTGTCCGTAGCTGACTCTGCCCGGCGACGTTAACGAGCCAGAAAATCTTTTGAGACGCTTGAATTAATCCCTTTGACCGATTTGTAGAGACGGACATTTTTTTTCTCCCTTCCTCTATTCCTCCCAATTGTTCGACTCACAAAACTTCACCAATAGGTTTCCTGCAATATCCAGTGCCTCATTCCGAACCTCGTTCCTTGGAGTTATAAAGATTTATGGAGGTTTTTCCTTTTATTCCCCCATAGCTTCTCCAAATGGAACACCTATTTGCATCTGAAAGTAATCCGTGCTTTCTTTTCGATAACCCTGAGTGAAGCCTAACGTCAAGGAGTATTATTCGCCCTTGAAATTTCGGATTTGAGATCTTTCCTCTTCCTCTTCCTCACTCTCCTTTAGAGTTCTTCAGGGCTTGAGGGGAGGTGAAGGGAAAGGAGAGAAGGCTCATCTAATTTGCAGTCATGGCTAATTTGGAACTCGTTCACAAGTAGGAAGTCCTTGGCGTTCCTCTCAGCAGAATTTGCAGACTGATGTCATTTTCTAGTAAAAGGCAAGACCTTTTGAATAGGGAATCCATAAAGTCTCGCTTTTGCTGCAACTTTTTCAGCCCTGAACTTACCTTTGCATGAAAATACTGTATAATTAGTTAGGGATACTGTATCGGGATTTTTTAAAATTTTATGTGTATTCATTAAAAAAAAGGTCGTATAGCAGTTTTTCTGAGCTTTTTGCCAGTCATTTCAACTTTGTTATTGTTTGATCGGCAATTTTTGTGAATCATAACGATAAAAATGATGATGTTTTCTTTTGAGCGGTGGTGTAATATCGGAAATTCTGAGAGCATTTTGAGGGCCCCGTTATTGTCCTATCACTAATGAGTGTTTATTTTGGTGATTCCAAGCGCTCACCATCTGGTTTGACGGCAAGTCGAAGGCGCTTGTTGTTCGGCTCTGAACACAATGTCAAAGTTCAGTTTCCGGAATTTATGTTGTTAAGCAGCTCGGATAACATTCTTTCGCCTAACCTCTTAACTTTCGTCAAACAGTGACTCAGTGATGATACTGTTTTGTGAATTTATGAGATTGTATTTCCTTTTTTTATTTGTTTTTTTTTGGCAGTTTTTTGGGTCTCATTAGATATTTTTGGGTAGATACCCATGAACCTCATGGAACACGTTGGAGCAAATAGGCTTTTAATCGGTCCTGTGGTCCTGAGTAGAAGTCAAATGGTAGGCGCACACTGAGGGGAATTTTAAACGCTCTACAAAACTATTTTTATCTTACATTTCACTTTTTTTCTTCTTTTTATTCGGCCCGATAGGCTAGAAATATGGGTAGGTGAATAAACCAGGTTGCAAGGAATTCTGGCAATAATTATTCGGCCCATTTTTTCGGGGTCCGAAAAACCACCGAAACAGCAAGGACGCACGGGGTGTAGGGAAGATCTATTACTCTGAGATAATTTGCTGTACTCACAATTGGCAATCCCATTTCTGGAGACAAATTGCTGCCCGATGCACTTTCTGGGTTTAATTGTGGGAGGTTTGGAAGCCTACTATATCAGGGATCAATGGAGAACAGCAACAAGTCAATCGACAAGCCATTCCATCGTGAGATATTTCTGATCGCCTCTGCAGCAACGATTGAATGGGGCTGTCTAGTAGCAATGTTATGGGCAATAGTAGACCGCACAACAATAACCCGCATTACTTCGTGATAGCACGTTATATTACTACCTTCTCAGAGCTCCGTCCGATTCGTCTTTTTAGGGTTTCTGGGATTCACTGATATCTTCCCTCAGGACTTCTGACCCTGTTACTCAGGTTTTTTCTCATATATTGACGAATAATACAAGTTGCACCGCATCGGAAAATGGTCAAAGCCTCAGCGATCGAAATATTTGTCGTATTGAGTTGATATATTAGCAATTTTGCAGAATAGAGGCTTACAGCTATGATCCTACAGAGGTGCTAGGTGATGTTCTGTTTTCCTTTCAAAGTGTCTAGTAAGTTTGTGGAAATGAGTGATCTCATGTCGCACCGCTACCGTACACACTTGGTTAAAAGGGCGAATCCAGGGTCGACTACCTCTTTATCATTTCTTTTCAAGTAGCATTACTTGAATGAATGCTGAACGAATTCCATGTTGAGAAGAGATACTGAATTCTGAGGTTATTTTCTTCATTTTGTGAAACCCGTATTTTTATTGTAATGTACTGGTTATCAAGTAGAAAGGTCCCCAATTGGAAAACCTGCTATGCAGAGAACGTGGCGCATTCTCCTAACATTCAGCTGCTTCACATACTACTGTTTCCATTTTACCGGTTCGCGAATGGATATCTATGATAGGTGATCTCCATCCGCATGGCACTTACGAACTCATATTTATTCTCAAATTATTTCTACTTTTCCCTCGACCTTTGAGTACTTTTTAAAGTACGACGAAGGAATTCCGGGCTTTCATCGCTGGCGAGTTGCATTTAGGAGACTTCGAGCTCAGTGTTCGATGGAAATTTTGATCGTTCCAAACTTTGAGAGTTCAAAATTTTATGGGTGTTCCAGATCTGCGATTCTTTCCATTTTATTTGGTTTTTTCGAAAGCTTTTGCATTCCTGTGTTTACAAGACTTCTCATTGTTCCACTTGTGCTCGAGTACTAACTGTTTCAAATACAAAACTGAGAGGTTTTCAACTTCTCGTATCATGTACATGTGTTCTGGCCTGTGATCGTAATATCACAGCAGGTAATGGTTGATACTCTGGTACGGAGAACGTTGTCGGTGGTCCTCTGCTCACAATACTTGACTCCTAAAATTACATTGTTGCGCTTTCGTGATCATACTTAGAAAGAACAAAAAGAATGGATTTTCAGGTGAATTCTCATTTTTAAAAATGTTAAAATGAATTCAAAATGAATTTTTTATATAACAAATGCGAATAGGAACAATTATGAACGATGAAAACACGATCGCACGATGAAAAGGGCCCACGAATAGAATCACCTTTGGCTTCAGAGATTTTTTCAGCCATACTCTCAAATGTTAACGACTGGGGGAACCCAACCCTTCCTTAGTCTTGAACATGCCGAATATCCAGATTTCATCACTTTGAACTCTGATTTTCAACTCAAGTTCCTTGTTCATTCTTCTGGACGCCTTTATTGTTAGAGTCGGATCCAGGCAATTATTTGATCTCGATAATGCAGATGTAATCTTGCAGCTCAACAAAAAATGGCAGCTCGTACGAATATTTTCAAACAAATGGAAAAAGTGAGCAGTACAACGGCATCACCCCGTACTATGAATCCAAACTCAATCAAGGATGCACTACTTCGATGGGTTCAAAATCGAGTGCAAGGATATCCGGTCAGTGTAATGGCATACGGTAAATGAGAAAGACCAAAACATTAATCATGCAGAGTTTTTCGTCATCTAAGTTCTTGCTGAGGAATATTGCAGAACGAATCCATCACTCAGGTTACACTTAGCAACCTAGAAACCAATTTTACTTTTCTCTGGACTAGATCGGAATTAAATGAAAGGTCTCTGTGAACATAAAAGGTGTATTCCATCGAGCACAGAAGAATGACAAGTATTCATGCCCGCATTACTCGGATCCCTCTACTTCAGTGGTCGACTGCTCAAAAAAGGGAGCAACCTCCCTCCCTCCTCCCCCCAGTAGGGTTGGGACAGTAGTCAGTGCTTGACGTTGATGGGCCACGTACAGCTTGTAGAATTGTTTTCTAAAAATTGGTGACGATTGCTCGGGAAGTAGTTCTTCAGCTTAATCTTCAACAAATGCCCAGGCCGATCATTAGAATGAAGAGTTTAATCGTTATAGAATGTCTCCGTCACCAACTTCTCATCGTCATGGGCAGATGGAATGGCTTTCTGTGCGCTAATCCATCGATTCGCACCGGATGCATTTGACTTCAACAAATTGGACCCAAAAAACAGAAAACAGAACTTTGAACTCGCGTTCAGAGTAGCAGAGTAAGTTCTGATCGCCACAGACACACACAAAACTGATAGCTGCTGATCTACCCGTTGATGTAAAGGAATAGAAGATACTAGAATAGCTGGCTATGTCAGGGGTAATCCTGTAGTCGCTACGGCATAGACCGCTTGAAGAATATATATGGGTGGGCCAGTTTCCTGCGAGGTTTCCCCAATGGAAATCGATTCTGCCAATGGCTGGAGTCATGTTTCTCATCCTTGAAGGAAAGAGGAAGAGCTATAGGTACAGCGAAGCCGTGTTCCCGAGCTACATCGCTGAGATGCCTAACATGAGAGACAACTATCTATTACATGCAAATAGGTTGTAGCACTCGGCGGGACAACTATCTAATTATCGCCCAGTTTGGCAGGAGGGCCAAAGACCTCAGTGACTCTCCCACGTACACGAACGTGGAAGGGTATTTATTAAAGTCGACATGCTTGACTGCATACTACATAACTATGCTCTCGCAGGCAGATGTACGTGCAGATGTGCATGGTTAGTTTAACAAACATCTGTCCATATCAGCAGCCGTTGGAGCGCTGCATATGGCTAAGCCCGTGTCTGACGTAGTCGGCAACCAACCAGGATAAACTTCGATCGCCTTCTGGAGAATGGGCCGAACTGAGAATTCATTGGGGCCGATAGAAAGCTGTTTATTTTCGACCAATTTGGAGACTTTTTCATAAGGTGCCCAGTTCAAGGTACGCTCAAACAGCACGGTTTCAGAGAACATGGAATTTGTCCGCTATTGGAAGTGGATGACATGATTATGATGGGTGATCGACCAGATTGGAAATGTGTATTTACCTATGTGCAATGTTTCTACAAACAATTCCGTGAACACCCTTAAAGACATTGTGTACGAAGTGTCGGCTGCCCCAATCAACCCAGAAGCCCTGTCATTCCATAGGGACGACAAAGTGGAACGGCTCCGCTACTGTTGAAAATTCATAAAAAGAGCTTGTGATGCTTAATCCCGTTCGAAACCTCGCCTCAAAACTTTTACTGGACGCACTCATAGCGCGACGCCGAAGTCGGCGGGAAAATCGCCGGAAGTGTAAATGCGTCTAATAGATGTTCTGCACCTGTTGCGTGAAATGCCATTACCTAAAAATAAATTTGGTGTCAAGTGACACGAAATCCGCGTGACATTTTGATTTCGTTGGGCAACACGTCACTTTGAGGCGATGTCCCCAACATTTGTGAGCACCTGTTGGGTGCACTGCCCCAAAACTTTTTAGGTACCACCCATTTGGCAGGGCAGGGCCATAAGGGTTTCGAGCTTGTCATTGTAATGATGGTTTTTGTGGAACCGGCTGGGGTGCATAAAATGTAAGTACAAATATAGCATGAAAATAAGCCCAATTTCCGTACACAATGTCTTCAAGTATCAGTACATAGCTTTACTTTCGTGTGGTTTCCAATGTAGGCTTTTATAGTCAGTGTAGACACTTGGCTGCCGTCGGTTTGTCTCCATGACCTATCTTTAGCTTCTTTATACCTTCTTTAGAAGGAACGTTTTCTTGTGTTGTTCTATGAGCTCTACCAACCAAGAATTCCGGACTAATCCGGGTACCTAACCTGATAATATGCATCGTTTATCTTTGAAATTGTTGACGTAATTTCAGTGTTGTGCCATAGTGAACCCATATAGAGCAATGTTTTGTAATCTGGCAGTGATTTTCATTAGGGGCGTGGTTTCCTGTAATTATCTTGGTCGCCCCAACCAATAGGCATGACCAAATGAGTCAGACGCCCCGCCCCTCCCCTCGTTATCGAACTTCTTATGCTTTATGTGCTCGTCCCTACTAGATGTGTTCGTCTTAATTTAGCAACCATCTTGTGCTCTTTCGTCCACTTCTACCTGTATATGACCGCCGGATTCGTGATACTTTCTAGTCGTAAAACAATGCCAATTATGAATGGATTAGGTGTAATCGCTAAGAGCTGCCGCCATTCACACTCGCCACGCAATCTTGGTCTATACCATATCACATGCATACAACCATTGAACACGTACCATTTACCGATTACAAGGGAACTTCTAGTTTGACCGTTTTATATTGTATATGTGTTAAATTTATACACCGTATATTAATCATTCATTAATATGCTCTAATAAACATACTCTGTTATATTATCATGGTCATAAATCAATAATAACAACAACAACAAACGTAACTCTGTAAAATGTAAAAAAATTTGAAAAAAAATGAAAAATTCAACAGCAATACCTCGTATTCCTTGACAAAACGGCAGATTTTTAAGGCAACTCTGTCGTGCTGTTCTACTCGGGAAGAGGTAAAAAAGAAAAGTTTAAGAACAATTGGGAAAGAGGTGCAAAAAATTTGATCTTTCTAGTTCCTGACCTCAAGTTTTTTGACTGATACCAAACCCTTTAATCAACGAAACATGGAAGTTAAAGGTTCGAGCCAAGAACTTCACAAGCAGGAAGAAACTACGGTAATGACGTTTAGGTAGGTATGCAACAGAGTTGCAAAGAATTTGGTAGAACTTTGGAAATCTCTACTTTCCGCGTTCGATCAGAAATATCCGCATGATGGCATAACAGCTCTAATTGACAGCTACATTAGCAAATGTATAAGTAGTGTAAGTTATAGAGAGAAAACAGTGTTACACACAATAAAATACAGTACATATCACAATAAAAACAACTTTACTTCTCTTCAGCCGTCACCACAACTTTCTCCCGCCTTTTAGTCCTCACAGGTCGATACGATTCATGATTATTTGTCCAAGGACCCAATGAATCGTTAGCGTAGTAGTCCATTGGATAATGGGTAGAAGGAATTGATACCTAAATAAAGTTAGATTTCTTTATAATTTATTGAGCATTTTCAGATAGGCGCTTTCATATAGCAACTTGAAGCACGTGGACAACTTTGAAAAATACGTTTAAACGGACCTCATCGAGTGCAACCATGAGCTCGTATGGAGATAGGAGTGGCTTTTCGAATTCTGCACCCCAGTCTATTGAAAGACGAGGGCAGGCAACTTGAACCCAACTAAAAGGGATGAAATTAAGAAAAGAATAAGATAAACACACATCTTCTGAAGACAATGAACACTCTCATACCAATCAACCTCTTCAAACATCGCCAATTTCTCAGGAAAAATTTCTGACATGAGGACTCGTATAAACTGTTTATTTTTGCTTTCCAACTTTCGCTCCAACTCCTGAAAAAAGAATTTCGGAAGCACAAGGACGGACTAGTCACGATGGAGAGCGGGAACACGAGCAAACAAAGTCGGCAAATTATGATGCCGAAAAAACTTAAGTTTCTAATTAAAATGGGATGTTTATTTAGTCTCATAACATAGAAGATGATAATTAGGGGAAGAAATGAGATACTTTACAAAATGTCTCACCTCCACAATCTTGATATTCCCTTGTCGGCCAAGTGTTCCTTGGATGATACCGAATGTACTGCATTTACGAGCTATATCTATGGCTTCTGAATTAGGATCAAGTAATACATCGCAAAAGGATGGTAATAAATTTCTGTCACTTTCAAAGTCTCATGCGCAATAAAGGAGGTCACAAAAGACTGAATAATCTAATAATAGTGAAATAATAATGGAAAAACGACTAACTTTTGCGAATTTTCATCATTTTGTCAAAGTCGTAATGTTCCCGAGTGAATTTCCTGGAGTATGGATCATATTGAAACATCTTCAAGGTTGGATTATGCATCATTAAAGACTCCAAGTGGAATCTTCCATCACCGAGATATCTAAAGGAGGATATATTGGAGAGAAGTATGCATAGACTTCCGCAGATGACGTACATGGCAGCATCGCAACTATCATCGAGTCTTGGAGATGTACAACCCAAAATCTCTCCTGGACTCAACGGTTTGCATTGTGGAATAATGATCTCGAGGCCACTATCCTCCAATGCATTGCGCGCAGCCTAAATTCACGTGATCCCGATATAAAATTACTAGAATAATCGGAAACAAATGATCCAAAGAACAATTAAAAAAGGGTAGACATACCTGTAAAGAGCCGACGAACTGAATCGTGCTGACTAGAGCAATTTTATAAGGAGCAGTGAAATTAGCTTTTATACAATCCACAAAATGACTAATGTTGATGTTGATATTGACAAATATATAGAGCATTGCTATCCCTTCAGTATTTTGAATGGGCACTAGGCAACTGTGTCCGTAGTGAACCAGCAAATCGCAACCTGAAATTTAGGAGTCGTGGAATGCAGAATCTCTTTGGTTTCAACTGAGGGCTCTAAATTAGGATGATAGGTTAGTTTTGCTACGAAGTTAATAATCAGGGCCATATTTTGAATTTTCTCCTCAAAAAAAAGGAACAACTCGATCACTTACCTAATGCTTTCGCTGTATAATCGTCCACACAACACGCACCGTACGTAACATCTCCCATGATTACAGTTTCACAACCGGTATACTTTTCAAGAATATCGGAAATCAAGCAGGAGTACATAAGCAAGCCTTCAGGAAATTGTAGAGCTACTAAATTAGATATTATAAAGATGAGCCCAAAAAAAGAGATAAGTAATAGGCAAAAACAAACCTAATTTACTGCCAGTTGTCCGAATTTTCCAAATAGTTTTTGGTATTTCGAACGTATAGTTAGATGGAAGCTGAAACATTGTCAATGGTAAAAAAAGAAGAAAAGTAAGGTTTCGTAGAACTTCTTACAATTTTCATATCGCTTTGGAGACTTTCATCAGCTGCGATCTCCTCCACCTGCGCGGCAAGGCGAGCCGGCCCGGCTTTACTCATTTCCTCAAGGCTCTGTAAATCTGTCGCTACAGCACGTTTCGAAACCAGGGTCGTCGATACCAAAATAAGAATAGTTTCTAAGGAAAAAGTGGCAATTCCCCGAGCACCCATAAATCCCTTACAAATCGTGCTTTTCAAATTATTACCGAACACGAAACAAAAGCACTAGTGCGTATGAAAAGAATGAGGAGAGAACGATGAACAAAAGCCGTCCTGTTCGTCCCACACAAGCTGTTTCAGCGCTAGAACCAGCGAAAAGAAAAAGCCGATGGAATGCAGGTGTCACCCGTAACCGCACACGACACACATGGCTTACATTCCGTTGACGTCCAACGTACAGTCCGTTGGTGTTTTTGGACTTTTTCCGGTTTCAGGTCTCTCAGACTAGCATTTTTGTTTACACTTTTTTATTTAAGTAATAAATGGAGACGAGCGTCCTTTGCGAAGCATTAAAGCTTTTGGAAAAAAAACCAGCTTGGAATTTATGTCACGCTGTTTTTTCAGCAAATTTTCGCGAAATCTTGCAATCTCGAGCCGATCGATCGTCACTAAATTGATGCCATATTTAATAATACACGTGTCGTATGATCGCATTTTAGCTTCTTGCTTTACTTACTAATAGAATAACCCTTTGATAGTGCATGGTTGTCTTAGTGTTTTCATCATTGTTGCTCAGTTAGTCCAGTTTTATCACTTGGACCTTATCATGCAAAACAAACGCCCGGCTGTTGGAAGTTTTCCCAGTCTTCAAGTCCACTGATTTCATCTGAATGTTTCGAGTGTTATTATTGTAACGAGGTGAATCGTGATCTCTTAATGAATAATGCTCCGTCGTAAGATTTGTGTTTAATCTTTCCTGACGTTTCTTGACACTCTAAGCGATGCCCCACTCATTTACTTCAATCCCATAGCCCTTCTTCTACGGAGCGGCAATTTAGAAACGATCTACATGGATTAGGAAAGCATACGCCATAATGGAAGGAAGGCGCACCACAGAGCAGGGAAGGATGAGTCCCGTGACGGTTCCAGCAATGATTCCCGTCCTCGATGGTGGGTGAACATTTGGCTAACTTCCACTTCAGTTGCAGATGAGGAGAATTGTTCATGAAGGGTTCTATTTTGGCAGAAGGAGTCACATCAAAGAAGATATTTGCTGTGGCTATCCTGCTCGCAGTAAACTTACTAAATTATATGGATCGTTTTACGATCGCTGGATTACTTGGAGCACTTCAGGATTATTTCTTTTTGAACGATAAAGAAGCAGGAATGTTACAGGTCAGTCAAGAATTGTATTGACTTGCTGACGCTCACATTTTTTCAATACTTTCAGACAGTTTTTATTGTTTTCTTCATGCTGTTCGCTCCGGTATGTGGATATTTTGGGGACCGATACAATCGGAAATTCATTATTATTGCTGGCCTTATAGTTTGGATAAGTGGTGTTATGCTGTCGACATTGATTGGACGAAATGTGCGTTGAGCTCGAAATTACGATGTTTAAATATTCGTATCGTGTATCATTCTAATTTTAACGTGTGCACCTGCACTTCTTTGTTAATGCTTGCAAATTGAGAAAAATCTCAAAGTGCCCTTTTAAGCATTTCCTTCTGTTCTTGTTCCTACGAGGAGTAGTTGGTATTGGCGAAGCGACTTATTCAACGGTCGCTCCTACCATAATCGGCGACATCTTCATTGGTCCGATGCGAAGCATTGCTTTGATGGTGTTTTATTTTGCTATACCTGTTGGCAGGTAAAGTTCATAATTAGGAGCAGACACCTTCATGTATCGTAGAGCATGCCATTTTCATTTTACATATTTTCCATTTTCAGTGGGTTGGGATTCATTGGTGGCTCATCAATTGCTCTGTGGACTGGAAGCTGGCAGTGGGGCGTGAGGTGAAGTTTCTACTTCTCTGTTCAATTATCTAGGTCCCATGCTTCCGAATATTTCAGCTTGCTTCTGGTTTTTGCTGCTGCTTTGAGATGTAATAGTGTACTGCTCTAGCTTTCCCAAACTGGTTCAGAACATAGAGCTTCCTTTCTCTCAACAGACTGTTGTCACTAAACTTTAATCGCCGAGTTGTTGCTGATGAATCATGAAAAACCATTTCAGGTTCACCCCCATAATTGGCGTATTTTTCCTTATCCTTATAATTTTTGGGCTTGAGGAGCCAGCACGAGGTCAAGCTGAGCATGCTCAAACCGAGCCAAGCACATTAATGCAGGATCTCAAGTACCTGATGAGTGTGTATGTTGTATTGTTTATCCTAGATGTTTTTTGAAAATTATTTTTCATCATTTTTTCTTCAGACGAACTTATATTCTGACCACTTTGGGATTTACGACCGTTGTATTTTGTGTTGGTGCTGCAAGTTGGTGGACACCACAGTTGATGACATATGCTTATGGTATGCAGCATGGCATGGATGACGTTCCAAAGGATGAAGTGGCACAGTGAGTTAATTTCGTACTTAATTATCTACGTTTGTTCAGTTTTCAAAAANAAAAACCCGCTTAATTGTAGCATTTCTGTGATATTTGGAGTAATCACATGTTGTGCTGGTATTGTCGGCATCATTGCCGGCTCTACAGTAGCTCAGGTAGGATCATTTTCATCTTTTCAGGGAGTGTACAGCTATTTCTGTGAATAAATCTTTGTCAAAACTTGCATCGTTTTACAATTTCAAGCTATTCTTTCTAATTAGGCGTGGAGAGAAGGCAACTGGTGCTTTCGCGCTTCGCACCGTGCCGATGCGTTCGTATGTGCAGCTGGATCACTACTTGCAGCTCCACTGTTATTCATTGCCTTAATTGTCGGGAGTCACTCCCTTGATTATGCATGGGTAGGTTGCTTTGAATAATACACCATACATTTTCGGAGCTGAGGCGCTTTTCATTTATATCCTCTAAAGTTTTCATTTATATCCTTACATTTTTCAGATATTACTGTTCTTGGGAGTCACTTGCATGTGCCTCAACTGGGCGCTAAATATGGATATGTTGATGGTTCGTCAAATATGCCTTTTTGCGCTCGAATTGTTTTCTTTTCTTGGACCTGATTTACATGGCAGCTCCATCATTCTCCAATGTTTTCCAGAATGTTATCGTTTCACATCGCCGCGCTTCTGCCACTGCCATACAGACCTTGACAGGACATTTGTTTGGTGATGCCTCATCGCCATACATCATCGGTTTTATTTCGGATGCTGTGCGAGGTCTGCGTAAAGGATCCTTAGCATGTACGAAATGTATACCCATAAGTAAAATTTTTAAGGCGATCAGACTTCCTCGGCAGCCAAGTACCATGCTTTGCAATGGGCGATGTTTCTTCCGAATGGTATCCTTATCCTTAGCATTGGATGTTACCTTTGGGCTACGTTTTATATTGTTGCTGATCATCATCGCGCAAAACTTGAAATGCATGGTACGCATATTTTTGCCGTTCTGTGACATCAATTCTTTGCATGCATGTCAAATTCGACCGATGCTTTTTACTGCAGATTGATTACCTTCACCTATTTGGACCATTTTTTGTAGTTCTTCAATTTTATTTTTAGTGGATGACGAGTGGGCCAGTGACGTCGAGAATTTGGTACCCAATGTTCAGCCTGGAGAGGGCGACGGAATAAGCAATATATTATACGAGTGATGTGGTGCCTACCGTTGGTCAAATTTTCGGTATGGAAGTTTATAGAAGTCTTTGTTAGTTTTCATTTACATAGTTCGTTTTTGGTAAGGATAGGGTTACATTCATTTTTTCGCTTTTTTTCGTGTTTGGGACGATTTCTGCCTCCCAGACTACATAAATCATCTTGATTATCAGAATTTTCATTTAAGCGCAGATTTAATTCATTTTTCTAACTTTCTGTAATGTTTTTTGTCTAATTTTCTAGATTCCTTCATGGATTTCCTACCTTGGCATTAAATGCTGACTTTCTCTGGATGAGATCGTGCCTTGGCAGATGAAACCTTTGAAGACGCTACCTGCTCGGCATCGCCGAGGAATCGTCAGCACTGCTGTATTAGCCCTTTTTTCTTTTTGTTATGCTTCTTGCCGCATTTATCGGGCTAACAAGTTAGTCACTAAAAACAAGTAGCAGCTAAATTGTAAAATATGAAATTTGCTCAACCCTAACCGTTGTAATTGTAAATAGATTGCGCTTTCGGCATCTAGGATTGTGATATTTACAAGTGATGAATATTTTATGCAATTCCTTTCAAATGTTTGACTTTCGTTCGCTCTTCTTGTATTTACGAAATTCGGTGTAAAACACCATAGCAGCGTTTTACCTCATGTTGGAGTGTTGAGAATTTATATCTTTCACAAATAACTGTTCATAGTTCTGCGTAGATGATGTTGGGCACCATAAGTAAGCGCTGCTCTCAGTAAAGAGTTGATTTCATGTGTTCTCCATGTCAACTGTGATTATGGGTAATTGATTTCCTTTATATTGTCATTTGAGCAATTTCACTCTGCAGGTGCAAGAATCACTAAACTTCCAGGGCAAGTGCATGCAGGGCCGGCATACGCAGTCGGGTCCTACCTTTAATAAGGAGCACGGTATGAAATTTTGTTCTCTTTTCAATCAGAATTTGTTGGAATTCAGTTTTGTTATACATTATCCTTCTCAAGACTGCTATGATTCGGAACTGCATCTGGATAAGGTGCTCACACACTTATCGTTTATTCGGATTAACATTGACAGTGTAGTACTCCCAGAAGAAAACCAATTTATTGAACGGTTGTACAATGAAGGGTCGCTTTATGGGTAAGATATATAGTATTTAATTGAGTGATGTCACATTTTAAGTGGTTTCTTTTGGCAGGTTCAACCTAGAATATCAATTTCCTTGCCTTGAAAATGTTTCGCGATCTCTCAAAGCTCCAGTTCGGTTACCAGCCAAGAGTTTCTCCATGACTAACATACAGTTTCGCCATAGGCGAGTTGTCCTTCTGCAAATGAATCCTGATATAATTCCATTCTGGAATCGGCACAGTCTCATAATACGTCTTCATGTTCAACTAAATACTCGTGGAAAGTTTTCGGTTAGTGGTGTCGTTTTTACTTATTTCGAGATCATTTTAGTTGACACAGAGATGACATTGTTGTGGAACTCTTTTATTCATTTTTTTAAGACGCGCTTACTTGGTCACTGTGTCGTTCCACTTTCCGAGCTACTCATTCCTCCTTTTATGATTTGTCGTGATTTCAATTTCATCCCTACGAAAGGAATGTCGTTCGAGGGCTCTTCATTGGTATGCTTCTTTTACCTGTGCTGAATCGCGACACTACAAATTTGCACGAATTGTTAGATCCGTATCGATCTGGGAAGCCGTGAAAAGAACTTGAGCGAAAAACTTAATGAACTAAGGGATCCATTGTTGGAGTCAACTTATGTGGTCAAGGGCATCAGGTAAGGTTACAGCTCATCCTGGGCTTCCATATGCATTTATGTCTTTGGTTATATTACCATGAATATTTTATAAGAAATGAACGAGATTCTGGAGATCGGAACAGATCAAGAGGTGTCTCGTTGGATCGTGCGGTTCAGGTCAATGAGAACAGACCTCCTTCTCACACGCAGCCTTTTCGTAAGTCAATGAAAAATGAATGCTTCGAATTCAATATTCCATCAAAGGTTACGTACTTTAGATGCGAGTGCGCTCGTCCGTGGGAGGACAGATGGACATTTACAACGCGGTACGTCTTCATATTCATGTTACTTCATCACTGTTTACTTTCCCCAATTTGTTCACTTCAGGCCATCTCCCCAAAACAGCCCCAATGCCGTTTCGTGAAAGAGTCCCATCAAATCTTACTGACATATCCGATTCCGTTTTTGAAGAACAAGCTTTAAACTATGGAACTGCTCGCCAACCAGGTGTGGGCTCTTATGGCCCTCGATATGCATATGTTTCGGACTCTCATCGAGAGTTTCGCCCAGCAGTGCGCTCTAGCACGTCATCAAGTATGAAAGAAAGAGAGCGTGAGAGCCCTCGGAGCAAATGCCTCATCCAACTCACCGTTCACGAAGCTCGCGGACTTCCACCTGTACGAGATGAAAGGTAGTGGCATTTGTTATGCCTCAGCTTTTTCTTCCACTGAATACATCGGAATCGCTTCCAGGAATCGCATTGTTTCTCCCAATGCATACGTCTCTGTGTTGGGAAGAGATGGTGAACTTCGCTCGCCAATCTGTGAACGTTCTCGCCGACCACTTTGGAATTGGACAGCACGATTTCATATTTGTGGAGAGCGCCGCAATATTATCGTAAAAGTACTTCATCATGATATGAGTGGCGACATGGTAAGGATTGTGTTTGCCAGTTATTCGGAAAAATAAGGAATTCTTTTTTCTTAATACTTTTTAGTACTCAACACATCCTCTATTCGAAGGTATGTTATGCGGAGAAATTAATATTTGAGCCCGGGTGGTGAATCAGTTCTAACTTTACTAATGTGTTGTCTGTCGTGCAGATGTAGCTTTAGTTCTTTAATATCGTAATGGGATTCTGTGAAAGTATTGTCTCTCTTGAGGGATTTTTGTGAAAAAGAGATGTGTTGATTTAGGCATACGAAGGCTCCCAGAAGACAAATTTGTTGGGAAAAAAGCCTAAGTGAATCTCCTTCTTACAAGGAAGCTGAGTTACTCACAAAACCAGAAACGCACAAGTGTGTGTCCGAATTTTGCTAGAAGATGGATACTTTACTTTCTTTGGCTAGTAATTTAGCATCCTTGGAATAATTTTTGCATCGTTATCTGCAGTAAATGTAAATAGTTAGCAGACTAAATTAATAATCAGTTTTATTCCGTGGTCTTGTATGCCGGGTGGCAATGAATGGCATTGTTTCTCCCTTTTTGGTTGCTTCTACAATGTGGTGAACTGACGTGTATTCGTGAAGCTTGCAGTAGTCTGTCTTCAGTTGCTGCTTTCATAACCGGTTATGACCATGCTTGCCTTTTAGACACTTGGCTTCGTGTCGGTTCCATTACCAATTGAAGAAGCGCATCGTGTTGACTATGAGATGGTGGATCTGACGGGAACAGCGGGCCTACACGGTGAAGTTCCGATCATAACGGTGTGTTCTACCGTTCAAAACTCAGTTATTCAGATCCTCAAATCAAAACTAGCTCTGTGCTGAATTCAGATGTCTATGGAAGCAAGTGAAGTTGTGCGTCGTCCCACTAGTGGGATTCGGGCTCAGTCGACCTCAAGTTCATGGAGCGAGCAGCAGGCGGCTTCTACGGGATCTTCCCCTCCCTTACGATCGGCATCAACTTGCCCTCCCACACAGCGTTCATCTCATAATGAAGAATACCTTATCACAGCTACACGAGAAGAGTTGGAAGAAAGATTGAAGTGGGCATTCTTTCATTTTTAACTTTGCCATTTGTACTACTTGCTTCGATACTTGTTCCTAAATGGTGATTGTTACAGGCGGAATCTCTCTGATTTGGATCGACTGATTAAAAAAATCAAGGAATGATCTCTGTTCATAAGCTTTTTAAACGTTACTTCATCACTTTATATGTACTTGTACCATACGTCACTTACAATTCTGTTAACTACACCTGATATCTTTATGAAAAACCTCATGATATAATCATGTAAATAAATGATTGGAAAGCAAGAGCCAATTTGGGGTCTGGAAGTGGGAAGCCCAGCGTACATATACTTAGCACGAGTTCAGTAAACGTTTGTCAGCACTATACCACTGGTTTTGGCATTGGAAAATCCATCAACACATAATTTCCCCATAGTAATCGATCAAATTTTTTCAGAAATTATGCGGGAAAAATGATGGTTACTGAAGGAGCGGGAGCGTGGAGCCCTTAGAAGGTATCTTCCCCGTTTTGGCATGTATTATGCACTCTAAGGACATTTAAAAATGTAGTCAAATTTAAATACGTACTAAATGTGAATATGTCAGTGGCGCTGCAATTGAATGCCCAACAAATGCTTTTTTTCCTAGCTTAATTAAACTTCTTCGAAGGCTGGGGCTCCCTGGTCGGTAAGCAGAATCCCATCCAAGGCTGCATTCGCAAATCGTCCTTTTGGTATCAGCACTTCTTTTAAGCACACTTATTTCTATCTTCCCATAGAAGGCACCTATTTCCTTCGGATGGTCTGGTGTTCGCCAGCTGAAGCCTTTCTCTGGGCGAACAGCGGACTATTCGAATGAAATGAGTTATGCGAGTCTTTTAACCCCATGGATGTCGCATAGGCCGTCAGGTGCACCCATCTACTAGGTAGCCCGTTATGCACACCCTTGTAAATCTGCCTGCAGCCATTGATTTTGTGAGGCATAGCTATTTTCTCGTGATAGATAAAAATAATTTCCAAACGTTTACAGCAGTTTCTGAGAAATTGTTGAGTTACAAGTCCTCATAACGCACAAAGCTTTTCATCATAAGAACCTAATTATGTGAGATATCATTTTACAGGGTGTCTGATAGGGCAATTCTCGTTCTCGCCTCTTGTTCACCATAAGTGCAAGTTTTATGATAACAAGTATATTTAGAAGTATCCTTATTGCTACCTATGATTAGTCTGCAAATGAGTTTGGGTGCTTCATATAATTAACTTTGAACCATAATTGCATGGGGGTGCCATGTAATTACCTACGCATAGGTTTGGATAGAATAAATTTTTGAGCGAGACAATGTAGCAATTTTGCATGATTAATCGAATTCTGTATGTCTTCACTTCGAAAAACAACAGGATGTTTACCCATGGGAAGAAGAAGCGAGTAGTCATGCGAGCCTCTCATCCAGCCCAGACCATGGTTCTCAGCTGGGGTGAGTGCCACTAGGGAGTTACACGTTTTCGTGGATTCTGCCGTCAAGAAAAGCAGCTACTAGCCGGAGGCGGAGCGCATTGCGGCAACAAGCACTGCAGGTCCGGCTATTGGACTATCCATTCTCCCCCCCAACCCCAACTAGACGAAAACAGTCGGAAAGTGTGTCGCGAAAGCTACCGAGCTTCATGTCGACTGAAGATTGGCCCTACTATTCATGAACCCACTCTAATACGCTATCTGTAAGGTATTCGGAGCTGAGGGTCTGCGCTACACGGCATCAATGTCCGACCGGCCTTCGTCCAGAACGGGAAAAACCGGCGGAGGGCAATAGTAACGCAGTGTACTCACAATTCTCACCTTAGAAAAGACGTCATCAAGGAAGAGTGGTGAACTTGGAAAGGCTTGAGTCGGCTTCTTCAGTATCAGGATGGCAAGCTATGACCGAGCTTTCATTTTATTTATCCTACCCAAACCGGAAAAAATTAATATCATTCATCCATGGGTACTTCGGATCTCTATCACTGAGGGTTATCCGTCATTGAAGGATCCCAGCCGCTTAGTGACGGGGCTACGTAGGGCGTTCTCTGATGGTGGATAGGGGAGTAAGCCGTCGTAAGTGGATTCAGGGGTTGGGCTCCCTGTTTCTGCTGTGCTAGGTCGGAATACGGGGTAGCTTTGGCATACTCGGAGGTTTTTTGAGTAAGTGCACTTTTTACTGGTTTACCGGTACGATAAGTACGAAAAAGAAATAACTGACAACAAAGAATTTTTTACTTAAACGTCTAGTCTCATAGCAACGGGCCTCTTCAGAAGAAGTCAAGCACTTTGGCATTGCCTCCGGAATTAGATCTGGGGATTAGTGACGGTAGAAATCGGAGCTCTGAGCCTCCGCTTCATCCCTGCTCACAGCTCAAATTTGTTAGAAAGTGTAATGAGAACGGTTAAAGCAGTCCAAAGCTGCAACCCTAGTTATTTTTAAGACTTTCCGCTCTTGAATAAAATAAGAAATACGATCTTCAGAAGCAGCCCGAGATTCACACCCTGCACGTCCTGTCTGTGTGCTAATCGCAATTTTCTTCTTCCAATTTAATATAGATGCTCATTAAAGCCCCCGGCTGCTTCCTCAAATTCCAAACGGGAAGGCTCAAACCATGTGATGTTGATGGATCACTAACGAATCCTTATTAAGCAGCAGGGCTCCGTTTGATATCACCTTATAAGTCCCTTTACTATGTTTTCACGGCACCCAGATAGATTTGCTACAGTTTAAGTAGTTAATTGTTTTTTCTTTACTTCATGTACCTTGCCACATTAAGTAAATAAATAAGTACTTAGCCGTACTCTCAGCCCCATGGGGGAAGGGGTGGAACGCTTCAAGCATGTCACATGACCGGAGAAGGACGACGGACGTCAATCGCCATCGTCATTTGACGTCTGCCGTCCTTCTGCAGTCATCTGACTTCCACTAGCAGCATTTAGCAGCTCTCCCAATAATGTGCCTACAAAGCCTTTAGCTTCTCCCACAATAATCCGCCTACAAAGGAGTGTAGGGCACTAGAGCACCTCTGCTATGTTATCCACGGGGAAGTGTCACTGTCGCACAGTGCCTCTTTGCATCTCTTTACTGGCACAATGGGCAGGGGGGGGGGGGGGGCTCCTTCTGCAGTCTCACTCTCACTCACTTGTGCGGCCGAGAAAATTACCCCTTCCCAGTGAGTTCGATACAAATCTATGCAATAGAACAGAAATTTTAGTGTCACCATTGGCTGGCCGCAAAGAAGCCCGACGGTCGCATTTCGCTTTTTTCATTGACTGAATAGATGGCAGCGACGCCTATATCGGAACCGGAAGTCCGAAACAAAAGTATCTGAAAAGTATTGAGAAGAAACGTCCTGGAACTTGTACTTCAGGAACTTGAAGCAGTCATGCATGGCGTGACGAGTTCCACATAAGAAGACTAATATATCTGAACTTATTCACCATTCGCCTCGAGGCCGAAGTTCAACTACGCAATCGACTGGACCGCAACGCGTACTTACCGCTATTCCAAATACCTACCGTAATCCCACTTTTACGGTAGAAAATGAAGGAGAAAACCTTTTGGTTGATCAATTCCGTCTTTGGAATGCGCCCTGTGTGTGGTCTACACAATGACTTGAGGTACAAGACAGTGGTTGTCTCCTTCCAGACGAGGCTTGTGCCAATCAACCGATTCCGCAGAAATAAAAGTCTTTTTTAGCCTAGGCCCATATCGATTCGGGATTCGGAACCCAAACCATGGGTGCACGATAGTTCGGTCTTTACATCTATACCATCTCCGTCCTTTTCAGGAAAATCGGTTAGTAAAATAGTTTGTTCCTTCCGCATAGTTAAAGGCACCGTTCACGATAAAAAAGTTATTGAGTTCTTCCTTATTAATACTCAGCGGCCACCATGGGTTGTAGAAGGGACCCTCTCACTCCCCCAATCTCGACGTCCAGGGCATAGTGGCAGCCCCGTTGTTGCCGTAGTTCGCGTTTCCGCCCCTCGATCGGTGTCACGTTAGACGAGTGTCGAGACAATACAGATTGCTATTATTCCTTCTAGGACCCACGCACAATCAGTTAATCGCCGAGTGATTTTCTTTTTGCTGCCGCGATCCCTTATTCAATTTCCTACTCCTAGAGGCTGAAAAAGGTGAGCTTCTTTTGCTGTTACTAAGTTTTTTTTGTTTATTTATGCTTATAAGTGAATGAATTTTTGCTTATCATTGTCTGTTCTTCGCACCAGGACCCACACGCGCGCAGTGAAACACTGTTTAGCTCGTCCGGACGCCCCACTCTTCTTCATCTTTCTGGTGTCATTCTCGTCCAGCCCTCTTTTTAACGGGTTTTCGAATCTTTTTCACTTTGGAAACACCGATGCACGCAGTTTCTTCTCCTCAGTCGCACTAGTTTCGATCTTGTCTTCTATTTTTCATCATAATCTGGATTACCCGAAATTATGTGAGCGGTGCCTTTAAGGTAGTAATAGTGAGACTACAGCTTACCCAGATCATGAACCCGTACTAAATTCTTGCGTTTTCATTAACTCGTAATTCCTTTTCGGTAATTTTTACTATTTATAGTGTGCTCATGGTACCATATTGAAATTTCTTCGCTAAGATGCGCCATGACATAGTGTCCTTTTCGATCTTCCCGATTAGGTGGAACGATTGGAACCGTGATTGGTGAGAGAGTTGAGTGCTCAAGCGGGAGGTGATACTTGTAGGAGTTAGGAGTAGAAAAGGGAGCGATAACGCTTGCATTTGGGAACTCTTAGCTGACAATAAGAGCGAAAGATCCGACGGAGACAAGGTTCTAACGCCTTCACCTATTTGCTATTCACAGCACCTCTATGACAAGTCGGTGCAGCTTTTCATCACCTAGGATCAACTTCCTAATGGGAACCAACGCAAGGATTCGAGCCTAATCTGATTTACATCCAAAGGCATGCTATTGGTTCCACTAGCCACGCTACTATCCTTGCAATTTTAGTTTGTAACCCTGGATGTCTTCTCAGGATCCTTTCCTTAGAGCCAACTAGTTGTCCTGGGTGATCGCTCCTCTGGATCAAACATAACGGAGGTATATGTTAGTCAGAAGGACAGGTTCGGACGTGGTCTTTGGTGTAGCTCAATCGTGATGTTTACCCGCTTCGTTGTGTAG